TAGTCTCCAGCCCTCCACTGTCCTTCACACCCAGGTCTATGCTTCTCTTTTTTTAAATTAATTAATTAATTAACTTATTTATTTATTTTTGGCTGCATTGGGTCTTTGTTGCTGCGTGCGGGCTTTCTCTGGTTGTGGCGAGCGGGGGCTACTCTTTGTTGTGGTGCTCAGGCTTCTCACTGTGGTGGCTTCTCTTGTTGCGGAGCATGGGCTCTGGGCGTTCAGGCTTCAGTAGTTGTGGCACATGGGCTCAGTAGTTGTGGCTCGCAGGCTCCGTAGTTGTGGAGCATGGGCTTACTTGCTCAGCGGCATGTGGGATCTTCCCGGACCAGGGCTCGAACCCGTGTCTCCTGCATTGGCAGGTGAATTCTTAACCACTGCACCACCAGGGAAGCCCTCTATGTTTTTCTTGTCGCTGAACTTTGGTTCATTTAGTCCCCTCTGCCTGGAATGCCCTTTCCCCTCCTCTTTCCCCAGTAAATTGCTACTTGTGCTTTAAAGACTCCTCCTCCTCCTTCAGGAAGCCTTACCTGATTACCCTGCCTGGGTGCTCCCCTAATCTCCATTCCTATGCCTATCCCTGCACTCAGAACACTGTGTTCTAATATCATGGGTGTGCCTGTCTCCTCCACTAGACCATGAGATGACAGAGGACAGGGACTGTGACCGACCTACCTCTGTGTGCCTCAAGAAATGTGTGTGGAATGAATGAGTGAGAAATAGGAGAGAGGAAGAAAGGGCTCTTGTTGTTCTGTTCTTCAATCCCAGGAAGAAAAGGGTCTGCATACCCTCACTAAGGAAAAAGCCAAAAGGAGGGTAAAGCCAGGTTGATGGTCCCACTACAAGAATAAAAGCAGGGGCTTCCCTGGTGGCGCAGTGGTTGAGAGTCTGCCTACCGATGCAAGGGACACGGGTTCGAGCCCTGGTCCGGGAAGATCCCACGTGCCACGGAACAGCCCATGTGCCACAACTACTCATCCTGTGCTCTAGACCCCGTGAGCCACAACTACTGAGCCACATGCCACAATTACTGAAGCCCGTGCATCTAGAGCTCATGCTCCGCAACAAGAGAAGCCACGACATGAGAAGCCCGTGCACCGCAACAAAGAGTAGCCCCCGCTCACCGCAACTAGAGAAAGCCTGCGCGCAGCAACGAGGACCCAACACAGCCAAAAATAAACAAACAAATAAATAAATAAATTTATTTTTAAAATAAATAAATAAAAGCGGAGGGCTCGGGTCTTCTTATTGGTACCTTCAGCATTAAGGGCCCATAGGCCTGTCTTCAGGACAGCAAGAAAGATGCAGCTGGGGAGTCATCTCACAATGTTGGAAAGAGGAAATCCCTAGGTAAGGCACTGGATGGTTGGAGCTTCAATGGGGGAAAGGTCCTAGGGCCTGTGACTAGCAAGAAAAAGGAGAGCTTAGGGAATTGATCTGGACCAGAGAAATGTCTATTAGGTTTAAAAACAGGTCCCAGAAGATCTTGCATGGGGAGTTGTTTTACCAAATGTCGAAGAGTTTGGGCCTGTTGTCAAACCTGGAAAGAATGTCTTAAGACCTGGCAGTGGCTAAGGGGATTAGCTCTGCCTTGGAAGAAAAGGCAAAAGTGGGAGGGACTCCAGAAATGTATTCCAAAAATCAGAGCCCATAAGTTTTATTTTACATTCCAACTCTAATCAGTTGGTAGGAGCTTTTAGGACTGACAAATTGAGGAGTCTAAAGCCATCACAAGACTCAGTGAAAGAAAGAAGGAAAGAAGGAAGGAAGGAAGGAAGGGCACTGTGATTGATTAATCATGTCTGCCATGGGTTCAGGTAAGGAGGTAATAGGAAAGGACCTGGGAATCAAAAAGGAATATAAAAGAGGGGCTCCTAAAATGTATTTTTGAATGACTTAAATCTGGCAGGGCATGTACCTGAGTGGAAATATCATGGGTTTTGTCATTAGACAGAGCTGACTTTGAATCCTGGTTCTGCCTCATTTCTTACTGCGTAATCTTGGGCAATTTACAAAACCCAGTCTGTAAAATGGGATTGTTTTGCAGGTTAAATTAAATAATTTATTACAATGATAATAGGAGACACTTACATAGTAATTTCTATTAGCTAGGCATTGTTCTAAGACCTTTATATGTATATTAACTAATTTGATTCCCACAACAACCCTATAAAGTTATTCTTCTCAGTTTACTGATGAGGAAACTGAAGTTCAGGGAGGTTAAGAGACCTGCCAAGAAGCTCTGTGATTTCACGGTATTCTCTAAGACTTGACCCTGAAGTTCACATGGGCATAAAATACATTTAATAGAGCTCTTCAACTTAAACCAGGCAGACTACAGAGTTATGAACAGGACAGGAGCATGGGTTCACTTGAAGAAAAGAGAAAGAAGGACAAAACCAGGACTTAGGAATCTGGCCTCCAACAAAACACCTCTGGCCTTTTTACTTTTTGCTGGAGCATGAAAGGCTTACTCCTGATCCACAAAATAAGCAGGGTGGGGATGTCTTCAGTTTGTGGACGATCCATCCTGCTTTCTCCTGTGATGGATTGAGGCATTCTTTCACAACATGGCTTTAGACCAGATGCCGACAAACTACAGCCAGATCCTGCCCATCACCGTTTTTTAAAAATAAAGTTTTGTGGGAACAGAGCCAGGCTTATTCTTTGATGGCGCTGTTTGATGTTTTTTCCACGGCCATGTCCACACTACTCCCGCATAACTGAGTCGTCATGATGGAGACCATCTGGTCTGCAAAGCCACCTACCTGGCCCTTTGCAGGGGACGTTTGCTGATCCCTGCTGCCCACCTTAGGCCAGACTTTCTACATATCAATATGGCATGCGTGATCAATCACCTGTCCTTAACCAGGGAAGGGAGAACAAGATGTCCCCTTGGGTGTTCGCCAGGAAAGGTATGCAGTAGGATGTCCATGAGAGGAACCAGGGTGAAAACACATGTGGTCAGGATAGGATTTTGCAGGGACTTCCCTGGCGATCCAGTGGTTAAGACTCCGCTTCTACTGCAGGGGGTGCGGGTTTGATCCCTGGTTGGGGAACTAAGATCCCACATGCCACATGGCATGGCCAAAAAATAAAAAAATTTAAAAAAAGAATAGGATATTGCAGAGTGCCTATGTTAATCTATGTGATGTGATAAAATGGCTCTGTGTCAACTGGGAATCACTGTGTTAAAAAACAAACTCAGGCAGATTTCTCATCTGCAGCAGCGGTCCCCAACCTTTTTGGCACCAGGGACTGGTTTGGTGGAAGACAATTTTTCCACAGACGGTGGGGGGAGCCTGTAGGGGGGACAGTTCAGGCGGTAATGCGAGCGATGGGGGCGGCGAGGGGCGGCAGATGAAGCTTGGCTCGAGCTCCCCCGCTGCTCACCGCCTGCTGTGCGGCCTGGTTCCTAACAACCGCGGAGCGGTACCAGTCTGCGCCCCGAGGGTTGGAGACCCCTGTTCTGCGGGACTTCTCAGGATCTTTAAAATGCCATCATGCCTTGAGAGTGCTGAGAGGGGTATATGGCTCACAGAACATATTTTCCCCATGGGACTATCTTCTTTGGAACATTCTTTGGCAGACGCTGAAATAAAAGAAACCTTTAGAATCCTGCCCCCTGGGAACTAGGAATGAAAATGGTGAGGGCTGTGGCTTGCTGAGCATGTCTTTCTCTCAGCAAGGGAAGAAGCAGGAGAACTACAGAGAGCCAGAGTGGAAAAGAAGGAGAGGTGTTTGAAGAGAAGAAGGAAGGAAGCAGAACCCTGGAGAGACAACTTGGACGGATGTGAGGAACACCGGACCGCTGGACTATAGGAGGGAACAGTGTGTCAAAAGCAGGGCTGTCGCCCAGTGCAGGGTGTGTGGTCACCTTCACCATCACCGTTGTCATCATCAGCACCACCAGAGAAGCTGACCTCCCCTGAGGCCTCACTACTCTGCAGATCCTGCATTATGTCCTTTAGACACATGATGTCGCTTAATTCCCATTTTACAGATGAAGAGATAGAGTCACCCAGAGTCAAAGTTTATAAAGCTTATAAGTGGCAGCACACAGACTCTGTGAGTCGGCCCCCAGAGCCCATGTTCCCACCACTGCCCTGCACTGCTCTACTGAGTTAGATGGAAGCCTGGAATTCCATTATGCAGCACGCAAAGGATACTGTAAACAAATGCAACACCAAAACATTCAGAGGAAAAGACAAAACAAACCAATGTCACTTTGGATATTTGGCTGCACGGGCCAAACAGCTAGAGGACTGCCTTTTTTCCACAGCACATTCAGATGTTTGGATATCATATTTTCTTCCTCTCTCTTCTTACTCTTTTATTAACTATCCCTTCTTAACTTATGTCATAAATTATATATCAGGCTTAGCCAAAGTATTACGCTTGCTCATAAAGTGAACAAAAGAAGACTTTTTTTTGAAAGTTAAAAAGCATTTTCAACCCGACCGTTATGACTACCATATTTACAATAAGCCTCATTTAGATTTCATACAACTGCCAGTTCTTTGCGGGGGGATTGGGGCCCTCAGAATAGCTTCCTAGGACAGATTCTGAAAACATGAATCACAGCTCAATTAAATCTTTTGTGGCTCAGAAACATACCAGCATTAAAGGCTAGCATTTATCCAGTCCTAGCTAACAGATGATTTCCACACTTAAAATATGATGAAAACAGTAAGTAAATCACACTATTTGGGGGTAGGGGGACGGAGATAAACCCAGGTCTGGAAAAGCAGTCCAGGATGTGAAAAACTTGCACACTGAATATTTTGGATTTGCAGCGATGGCAAAAAAAAAAAAAAAAAAAAAAAAAAAGAAGATGCCGCTAGCATGCTACAAACATCAGCTGGGGCGCCTGAAGGTGGTTTGCGTGGGGTAGTCCACCTCTGATTTACTTTCTTGCATCTACAGCAAAATAAAGGACAGCTGCCAGGAGGCCAGGGTGAAAGAGAAAGGCTGTCACCCTGCTGTAAATTTCTGTTTACCTGGTGAGCGGTGAGGGCAGGGCTCCTCCGTCCAGAAGGGCTGCAGGCAGAGCATTCGAATCGTGGCTGGCCCTGGGACGCTGCCCTTCACACTGCTTCAGCTGCTTCTACAATCCCACTAGAAATCTCAAAGGGCTGGAGGGCCTCAAGGCCAATATTCCGTTTCCAAGACAGTCTTCCTCCCCCACCGCACCTCCCTTGCTAGTGCAGACTCTGGAGCAGCTCGGGTTTCTTCCACCCCTGTTCCAGGCAGCTGGGAATCTAGGCGTTGGGCTGGCTGAGTGATGTGGCCCCTGAAACCACTTCCAGATGGGCTTGGCGGGTCAGACTTCCTCTCGCAGCCTCCTCCGGCAGCCTGCAAATCATTTCAAAAACAAGGCTGCTCTGGAGGAAAACATTCCAAACTGGAGAAAAGCAGATGCTTGGAGGGTGAATTTCCACCACACATTGGGTCTAAGGTAAACTTTGAGAGGGCAGAAGTGAAAAAATTAAGTTCATACTGATTTTAAGAATATCTTTCCTGGCCACTAGCTTCTCCTAAAATGCCCTAGTCATTAAAATGCTGTTGTCCCCAAATCAAAGCCCAGATAAAAACTGCGGTCTCCCTTCGACCAAGGCAATGATAGTGACGGAAATTTCAAGATGGTGTGTTTTGTGACTTAACATGGGAAGGAATCAGGCAGTGAATCAACCCCACCCAGCTCTGTGCTGTTCTGTGTTCCTGCCATTGATTCTCAGAAATCCAGGAAACGGTGCCAGCACTTTGCCTGGGATCATGGAATTTATTTAGCAATGGCCTCTCTCCCTCATTCCGATAAAGAAATGAGTCTGCCTCTGCTCACTGCCACCTTCTAAAGTGGTATTGCCCAACAGAAATATAATGCAAGCCACATTGTCAATGAAAATTTTCTAGTAGTCACTTTAAGAAAAGTACAAAGAGGTAAAATTAATTTTAATGATAAATTTTACTTAACATAATATATACAAAAATATTATTTCAACATGTAATTGGTATAAAACTTATTAACAAGACATTTTACACTTTTTGTTTTGTATGAAGCCTTTGAAATCTGGTGTGTATTTTACACCTGCAACACATCTCAATTCCCAAACTAAACTTCATCAGAAACAATTGATATGTATTCAGATTTGATAAAATTTACAGTTTAAAAAATAGATTCACATATTCAGGTTGCTCCAACATACTTCAAAATTTTCCAATAACTGAATCGTGAATCAGTTTTTCAATTTAAATTGATTAAAACTAAGTAAAATTTAGGGCTTCCCTGGTGGCGCAGTGGTTGAGCGTCCGCCTGCCGATGCAGGGGACACGGGTTCGCGCCCCGGTCTGGGAGGATCCCACATGCCGCGGAGCGGCTGGGCCCGTGAGCCATGGCCGCTGAGCCTGCGCGTCCGGAGCCTGTGCTCCGCAATGGGAGAGGCCACAACAGTGAGAGGCCCGCGTACT